TGCAAGCTTCCCGCTCACCAAAGCCTGGACATCTTCTGGGGTGTTGAGCATGATTTTGCACAGCAACATGTACTTCAGAGATGTGATGGCCTTGGGGCTATCAATGGAGTCGTAACCCTCAAATGCCTCATAGAAATATGAGTACGCAGTTTTCCAGTCCTTCTCCTTTGCTGCATGGATAATACCTGACTGCATGTCCAAGGTGGCCTGCAATTTAGAGGGGCAGTAGATGGCATTTGCTGTGGTTCGAGCAGAGATTAAGGCAGCTCGGGCTTTCGGCAGGTTGCTCAAAGCATGGTAGGTTTTGCTTTCTAAAAGCTGTACTTCCACTAGGAGGGCTTTGTCATCCACCTTTTTTAACTCCCGCAGCAACTGAGAACCCAAATGCAATGCTTCCTGGTACCTCTTGGTATCAAAGTACAAAGACACTAGTCTTGCCTCCAAAGCTTGGCGTAAGAAAGTTCTTTTCTCTGATTTGGCCCACTCAATGCACTCTAAACACAACTCGACCTCTTGACCTGTAGCTGCTTCCATATCAAGAAAGAGATCAAGAAGAGGCCGGACCAGTCGGGCTGCTTTAGCTTTGCTGATGGAATTCAAGAAGGGTCGTACATACTTCAGGAGTCCTCCAAGCTCTGCAGCTTGTCCAGTCTTGGCCAGGAGAGACCCCAGTTCCAGGATACTCTGCTCTTTGACCTGTACTGTCTCCTCATCATTTTTCTGAATGTCACGCTTCACGATGGAGTGGAGGATGTCGATGGAGGCCTCCCGGTCAGTGCTGAGTAGAGACTGGGCTCTCTGGAACTCTACCACCGCCGCTGCCGTCATCTTACCGCTCTTACACCGTCCCTGGCCGCGGCCGCCGATGCCGGAAACACACACCCGGAAAACTGTTGTTGTTTTTTTTAAACTTTTCTACTACTGCTGGAATGATATGATATCTCATTTTTGTTTTGATTTGCAATTATTTGATTCCTAATAATTTTGTTTATATTTTTCTATTGGTTTGCATACAATAATTTGTTTCTATTACACATCTTACTGATTATCCTTCTGTTTTTACTATAATAGTCTTATACATCATTTGTTCTTATGTGCCTGAATTAGTTCACTCAGCATAATACTCTTTGGACTCTCCCACCTAATACAGAATTTTTCAAAACTGTTGCTCCTGAGTGCTGCGTAGTATTCCATCTTATGAATGCACCACAATTGTTTGTTTATGGACCACTTACTAGTGATTTTGAACATTTCTGCATGTATTATTTTGACATCCAAATATCCTCCTTTGTGAAGCGTCTTTTCATGTCTTCTGTCTGTTTTGTGATTGTTTATCAGTCTTTTTCTGGTGGGGGCCCTGTAGTATTCTGTAAACTTTGATTATGAGACCCTCATCTGAAACATCAGTACCATTTTTCCCACCCAAATCTTTTTGGCTTCCTTTTTACTATACTAGAGAATGTTTTGATACACACAGGGGATTGATTTTAAGAGAGCTCATTCACTGATCTTACCTTGCCTTGTTCATATATTTGTGGCTATGTTTGCAAGCCTATTTATCCACAGGCTAAGACTTCTAATTCTGTTTCTTATAGTCTTTATGGTTTTGGGTTTTACCCCTTGGTCTCTGACCAACATAGAGTTGGTTTTTGTGTATGATTTAAGATGTGGATTCTGTTTCAGTTTTCTTCAGACAGACACCCAATTTTGCCAGCACTATTTGTTAAGGAGGCTGTCATTTCCCCATTTAGTAGGTTTTATCACCTTGTTAAATATCAGTTGACCAGAGATTGATGGGTTTATTTCAATATTCCTGATTTTATTCCACTGATTTTATACGTCCGTCATGACACAATACTAGGATGTTTTTTTCTCTGCCCACTGGAATTTGGAGTATTTATATGGGGAGGCAAATGTAGCAAGCAATTGAGAAGACCAGGGTCAGGATCAGGCTCACCTAGACTATGAGTAGGAATGACAGAAGGAGAATTGATGCCTTTGAGTTGTGGTGATGGAGAAGAGTTATTGAACATATAATGGAATGCCACAAAGCAAGTAGATCTCCCTTGGAAGGGGTCAAGCCAGGTTGCTCCTGGCTTGGACAGGATTTTGAAATTCCTTCTCACATACTTTGAACATGTTGCCAGGAGGGCCCAATCTTTGGAGAAACACTTCATGCTTGATGGATTTGCACAGTGACTGTGGCAATGGGGTAAGGTTGGCTCAAGATAGGGCAGGGTTCAGAGGCATTTTTCATAGGGTTACTATGAATCTCGGGTGATGATAGCCCATACAACAACAACAACAACCTTGAAATCAATTGATATCTATTCCTAATTTTCTTAAAGTAACCTCACTTTCACTCTCATTGCCATTGGACTTGTTTCAACTCACAACTGATCCTCCATTGGGTTTCCAAGTCTGCAAATTCCTGGGAAGGGAAGAGACTGCTCCCCTTTCCCTCTGTGTAGAGACTGATGGATTTAAACTGCCAGAGAGGCACAGCCTTTAAGTTAATAGTGCGATTGTATACCAAAGAAAAAATTTTTCTTTTACTTTTCAAAGAGAGGAGTGAACTGGGAGGGGAGGGTTGGGAAGGGAGAAAAGTGCAACAATGAATGAATGGAAATCCAAAATTCTCTGTAAATGCACATTACAATTAATAAAATACAATTTTAAAAGAAGAAAAAAGTTAATAGTGCAACTCTCTACCTACTGACTAAACCACCTGCAAAAAATAGTAATGTTAAAACCAAAATGGAATCTATTGCCATTAATTAGATTCCTATTCATAGACACATCACCCCCTAGAACTTCATCACAGGCTTCCCAAGTCTACTATCTTTTTACAAGAAAGACCTCCACACCTCTATCCTGGGGAACAGCTGGTGGATTTTATCACTGAACTTCCTTTTAATACCTGAATGTTTAATCACTGCACCATAATGGTTCTAGATTGTTTTTTTAGAAAGTGATTATACATGGTGTTTAATAAATATTTTGTGGTTTTCCTGGTTTTCTGTTATTCATCCTTTGTAAAAAGGAAAATAATTTAATTGGTGAGAGAGATTTAGAGAAGTGACCAATAAGGCTCATAGTTTGGGTTTGTTTGTTTTTTTAAAAAACACTACTTTTTGTTATGATTTTAGTGTGAGTTTACAAAGCAAATTGATTTTAGCTTGACGGTGCTCTATGGAGCCTTGCATGTAACATAGAAGGTACTCAGTAAACATTCATTAAATGAAAAATTCCAGAGTCAAACACAATGGCAATAAGAAAATCCACTTAAGCTATTGTTAGGGAATTCATTTTGACTAGTAGTGATTCCCCAGGACAGACTAGAACTACCCCACAGGGCTTCTGAGACTGTAAATCTTCACAGAAGCAGACTGACTTGTCTTTCTCCCAAAGATTAAGATAAAATTCTTGGGTTGAATATATCTGACATAAATGAAATATAGGATTGTGAAGGGTGAACCATTGCTTTATTGCCACTTGTTGGGGAAGGCCTGTGTAATTCATTTGATGTTTCCCTTCCTGTGACTTATGCTGCCAACCCAGATTCACAGTTATGTAAGATTACAGCAGTTCATATTGACATAAATTCTTTCTCCCCTGTGTTTGCAATTCCTCTCTGGTTCTGTAACTTTCCCTGGAGAGAAGGCTAATCTCCCAAAGGCTCACATAAGGCAATGCTATGAGATGCATAGTTCAGTATACAGTGCCTCAAAGTAGTCATCCAAATAATGCATTACATGTTGGATTTTTTGTTCTGGTTTTGAGGATAGGCTGTATGTCTAAGATTAAAATAGAACAAAACCTTAAAAATCAACTACATTTTTGCCCATCATAATACCTTCTCTCTACTCTATTGTAATTAGAAAAACATGTATTATATTGATGACAGATAACATTTCTAAATGCTTACTCTATTGCCAGACATAACGTAGGTTCTGTATGAATGATATTATTTTTTAACAAATCCTATCAGAGAGTTACTATTATTGTCTCTAGGTTTTATTTGGGGAAATTGAGTCTTTATCTTTATTGAACCCTTTATGTATAACTACCCATTTACAAGTTCCTCCTTCCATTCCCCTCATAAATTTATAATTAAAATAGAGAGATAAAAATACACTTGAGCTCTGGGTGCCTAATGGATAAGCAGTTACTCTGTCAACCTTAAGGCAGACAGGTTGAATACACGAGCCTGCTCTGTAGGAGGAAGATAGACAATCTCTTCCTATTCCATTTACTGTCTCTGAAAAGCCAACTGGACGGTCAGCCATAAATCAGTTTTGACTCAATGAAACATAATAATAACACATACATTAGCCAATGCCAAGAAATTTGGAAGACAGTTGCCTGGCCAACATACTGAAAAAAATCCATGTTTGTTACAATTAAAAAAATGGTCTGAGTACAGACATTTTCAAAGAATATCATTAATGTCATATACAAGTAAAACCTTGCTTAATATTTTTTAAAAAATGCTGAAATAGCTCATTGACAAGAAAATTCAAGTAATGCAAGGTAGATTCAGAAGGAGAAGATATGGAATGAGGAATATCTTTGCTTATTTCGGATGCTTATTGGTTGAGAGCAGAGAATACCAGAAAAATTTACTTGTGTTTTGTTTACTATGTAAAATCCCTTGACTGTGGAGATCACAACAAATTATGGTTAACAATGAAAATAATGGAAATCTCAGAGAATCCTATACACAAAAATATTATCTAACTAGAACATGGGAATGCTGCATGATTTAAAATCAGGGAATACGTTTGCCGAGATTATATCCCTTCTCTATTCCTATTTTATCTGTGTGCTGAGCAAGTAATTAGAGAAACTGAATCATACAAAGAAGAATGTGGCATCAGGTTTGGGAGAAGACACATTAAGAACCTGCTTTTGCATCTGACATTCATTGGGCATGTTGCTAGGAGAAGGTATTCCTTGGAGAGGGATCTCATGCTGGCATAAGGAACAGGAGACTTGAAGCAATTACTGCAGAAGATCAGATACTATAGCCTTCAACATAGATTATATCTCAACATCAAGAATAAAACAACTCTTCACTGTACACATAGGAAACATAAAGACAGATGGAGCAAAGACTGAAGTTGTTAATACTGCCATTTTGCTTGGATACAGAATGGGAACAGCAGTCAAGAAATCCAAAGACATGTAGCATTGGAAAGATATGTCAAAGACTTCTCCAAAGTTTTAAAGAGTAAAGACTTCCAATAAAAGTCTTTTACAGTTTAAGCTTAGTGTAAACCACAATATTTTCAATTGCTTCCTATATATCTAAAAATTAGACAAAGACAGAAAAATAATTGATGTATTTAATTACAGTGTTGAAGAGCAGTCCAAAATATCTCATATACTGCCAAAAGAACAAACAACTCTGCCTTGGAAGAAGACCATCCAGGGTTGCCATAAGAGTCAAGAATGGGGATACTTCATCACATGAACATACTTCAGGTATGTTGTCAGGAGGGCCAATCCTTGGGAAAAAGACATTATGTTGGGCAAGGTGGGTGGAAGATCGGAGAAAGAGAGGGAGACCCTCAACAGGATGAAATCACACACTGACAATAACAATGGGCTCAAGTATGGTGGAAAGTATAGGGGATGATGCAGAATAGTGCAAATTTCAGATCTATTATTCTTTGACTTGTTAAGAATTGTGGTAGATTTGATTTCCTCTTTTACCAAGGACCTGCCAACATGGCCGTGTTCACACCAAAACTGTGAAGAAGGCGGCCCAAGTCATCATTGAGAAACACTACACGTGCCTGGATAATGACTATGGGAACAAGCGCGTGTGCGAGGAGATCAGCATTATTCCCAGCAAGAAACTCTGGGACAAGATAGCTATG